GCTCCTGGCTTTACCACTAGGAGCAAGAAGACTAGGAGCAAAGGGCACTGCTACTAGGAGCAAGAAGCTACTAGGGGCTCCTGGCTTTACTACTAGGAGCCAGGATGCTACGAGTGGAGCTTTTCTCACCATTTCGTGCCACGTGACACCCCAACTCCTGCAACTCGCTCCCTCCCACCACGTGACCCTCGCAGGGTCTGAAACCGACCCGAGGGTCGCGTTCGTCGAGTGGCCATTCCGCAGGTTTGGTGTTGGGCGGCATCAGAGCCTCCTCACCCAGTTGCACCAGGAAGGGGTCCACGGTGCCGCTGTAGATCCATGAGTGCAGCTGACCTGTTGGCAGATACAGATGTCTTTCCTTTTTTCTTCTATCTATTTTTATAAATTAAATATATACATACTAAATATTATAACTTTTTATAACATATTCTATATATTATGTATATATATATACTTTCTTTCCTGCATGATTGACAGTTTTAAGGAGACATGATACCGAAGGCCTCTTCCTCATTTTTTGCTATGAGGGGAGAAATGCAGCCCCGGACTTAAGGCGTCTGCTTTTTGGTGACGTGTCATCATGGATTTCAACCTAGTACCAAACTATATTAGACCTTCTTTAAAGCCTGCTCCCCCCTCCTTACTTAATTTATTAAGGAACTAGTAAGCTACTAGACTAAGTCAGCTTCTAGTACCTGGACGCAGGATAGCTCACGCTTCTTCAAGGAAGCTCCCCTAGATTCTATTTTCCTGGAAGAAGCGCTTGCACTAATGATTTGGTTCCTAGAGGGAAACTTACCTAATAACGATGGCCTCCAACCTACTAGCGTTTGCCTCTGTGTCACCATTGATTTCAACCTGTCCAAGGCTCGCTGCAAGGTGGAAAACTCCACTGCGATCTCCACAAAAGGAATCCAATCAATCTGTCATCCCGAACCAGCCCTTTTCCATCTGTCATCCATCTACCTCATGGTGCCTGCCCTTAGAATCTTCACTCTGCGTCGCCCCTTCTACTTATACGAGCAAGAGGACGCTACTAAGAGCAAAGGGCATCACTACTAGGAGCAAGAAGCCACTAGGGGCTCCTGGCCTTACTACTAGGAGCAATGTTCGCCATTGACAAACATCCTCCGAACACCAGTAGTCGGTGCTTTGCTCCTCTCGGCCACCAAGCGGCGGGCGGGCACGGAGGGGCAAGGCCAACGGCCCAGCCATTTCATCTGCGGAGACCGTTGGACATAGGCCTCCCACACCAGGCGAACCTGTGCAAACAATGGACCATCGCAAGTAGGTTGGAGGCCATCGCTACTAGTAACAAGAAGCTACTAGGGGCTCCTGGCATCGCTAGCTACTAGGAGCAAGGATGCTACTAGTAGCTCCTGGCCTTACTACTAGCAACAAAAGGCTACTAGTAACAAAGGGCATCGCTACTAGAAGCAAGGACGCTACTAGTAGCTTAATGTGCGCTTCGCTTGTGAAGCAAGAGATAGACCTTTTTTTGGGTGGTGAGTAGGAATCAATGTGTTGCAAGTGGTTTTGTGTTTTGTGTTTTCATGACAATTTCGAGAGGAATCACAGCACTGGCTCAGCTTCAGTTTCCTTGAATTCTCCAATTGAGCCTATGTTTGCTGACACATTCAGCATTGGTTGGTGGATTATGGGTGGTCAGTACTCCATGCTGTCAAAGAATGTCACGGAAATCACTCGACAGAAAAAACAACATGATCTTTATGACGCTTCCTCATTCCGAACTCTCTTTTCTGTGTAGTGGCCGAATTTGGTCTGCAAACACCGTTCTTTCTGAAGAAACGGACACCACAAGCCCTTGATCAAGACTTCGCTGTCTCAAAACCGGCATATCCCAAGCACTGAGTTGCATTGAAGCGCCCATGTTGTCTAACAGGAAGTCGGGACTGTGTGCTTCTCAAAGTTGTGCTGCATACACTATGATTCCAAACTAAACTATAGGGTTTCCCTTGGTTGTCGCACCACTTGGTACTAACCAAACACAACCAGACCGTTCCACAGCTGTGTCCGGCTTTTCAGCCTTCACCCTGCCTGCTCGTTGCGCAGGGGCCGTTGCGTGAAGAGCCATTTCGGCACCTGCGGGTCCGGAGCTTCAGCCTCCAACCTAGTAGTGTCCTTGCTAGTAGTAACAAGTGCATCGCTAGGAGTAACAAAGTGCCTTACTAGTAGTAACAATAAGCTAATAGCAAACATTGTTACTACTAGTAAGGCACTTTGTTCCTAGTAGCGATGCACTTGGTTCCGTTCGTAGCGAAGGGGTTTTGGCTTCGGCCTGAGCGAAGAAGGGATTGAGCTGGGCAAAGATCCGGTCCATGATCTCCAGTGGCAATTCGAAGTTCAACTCCTCAGCTCGTAGTAACAGGTGCCACGCTACTAGGAACAGGTGCCTTACTAGTAGTAACTAAGAAGCTAGTAGTAACAGGTGCCACGCTACTAGGAACAGGTGCCACGCTAGTAGTAACAAGTGCCTCGCTACTAGTAACAGATCGAGCCCCGAGATCGAGCCTTCCCCGTTTTTTCTGGTTTACTTTTGTTGCACCAAACATGCATTGCAGGTGCGTGGCTCATTACCTCTTGACACATCACTCCAACTTCGATTTCTTATTCCAAAATTAACATGCTCCTTTTTGCTTCTTCACCTGATTGGCACCCGCACCCACTCCGTGTAGGGCGCAGTGGTCCTCTCCTGAAGTGTCTGAAAGGAGTCCACATTTAATTATTGAAGGACACATTTGTTATAGCAACGGCCTCCAAATAGCGATGGCCTCCAAGCTACTAGCCATGGCCTCCAACCTAATAGCGATGGCCTCCACCATACAGGATTTCAACTCAAAACCGGCAAGTGACTTGGACACTTTCACGTGTTGGGCCCCTGTTTTCGGAGTTTTGGTCCGCCGAAGCAGGACGGCATAGCCCTGATGGCGTTGCTTTCGCCTTTTTCAGAATCGGAGAATGTCAAACAAGCTGATTCGGGTTACCACTTCTGTACCCTGGAAAGCTGCCAAAAGTTCAGTTCTGTCCGAGCCGCTAGGAGGGTTGCACAAGGCAGGTTCGATAGGCGTGGAGAAAGGAACATCTGGAATCAAAGTCGGGTGTTTCCAGAAAATGCAAAGAAGAACTCCATCATCATGAATCATCTAATCCTGCTGTGCTCTCTTTTTTTCCGCACAAGTCAATACAGACCCAGCTTGAGAATTCTGCCATCAAAGTACCCCACATTCTTTCATTCTCCGTAGAAAGAACTTCAGGTTCCTTGCCAAAAACTCTTCACCCATGCAGGCGGATCGGCTTCCACCGACAGGCATCGCTTGTTGGTCCCAACCCCCCCCCCCAAACAAACAGACCTCTACGAAATGCGGGCCTTCAAGGAGGTCGAGTAGGTATTTGTCTTTCTGTGATTGTCTTTCTACAACTGTGGGTCTCCAACCTACTAGCGATGGCTTCCACCATCTACATTTCAGAAGTTGTTGCTGGGTCATGGAAGAGACTGCTTCATGACCTCTCCGACCCTCACGAACCACGCCTCCCAGGTGGGTTGTGCACAGAAGGCTGCGCCCAGCATCGGCGTGGTCGCAACGGGGATCGGGGTCACCTGGCGTGGGCGAAGATGGATGGCGGTCAGGGATTTTTACATGCTGTTTCTTCAACATGTTACTAGTAGCGTCCTCTTGTTCCTAGTAGTAAGGCCACGAGCTACTGGTAGCGTCCTGGCTCCTAGCAACGATGCCCTTTGTTCCTAGTAGCTTATTGTTACTAGTAGCCAACATCATCTTCTTCGAAATTGAACAGAAACTCCATGTTTTGGGGTCTGTTCACGTACGAGTACCTACCTCTATCACGCAGAAATGGACAGCTGAATTGCCTGCAATTTGCCTGCAAGTGTGTGGAATTTCTGTATACTGCCAAAAACAATAAGGACTTCCAATTCTGAAGCACCATCTCACGATGGCCTCCTTCCTTAAGTTTCTTTGTGAATTTGACATGTATTCAAACGATTTTCTGGCACTGAAAAAGAACCAAGAGAAGCAACTGCACTTTGTATTGCTTAAAGTCATGAATAGTCCCTTCCTACATCTGTCCCCCATCACGTAAGACCACAGACAGATCCTCCTCTAGAAGCAGTTGGGTTGCTCACACGCGCGCGCTTTCCCTCTCTCTCTCTCTCTTGGTCCCCGTTCGTTGCACCTGTGCGGTTGCTCCTCCAGGAGGCACCGTGCTGGTGACCTCAACGAAATTGTGTTTTTCTATAGTAGTAGTAGTAGTAGTAGCTTCTAGTTACTAGTAGTAGGGCACTTGTTACTAGTAGTAGTGTTTTCTATTCTTACGGGGATGGGGGTAGGCCGCGAGTGGAGGTGAGGTAGGTAGCTAGTAGTAACAAGTGCCACGCTACTAGGAACAAGTGCCTTACTAGCAGTAACAATAAAAATTTAAACAAGTGAGGTGCCTTACTAGTGAGGTAGGTAGCTAGTAGTAGCAAACAGTAGCTGCTACCTAGCTTCTTCAAGGCTCCCCCCCTTTCGGGTGGGGAAACTTCCTTGAAGAAGCGCTCGCACTAATGATTTTGGTTCCTAGATTTTTAGGGAACCTTGAGGTCGGAGGCCATTCCTATTAGGAAACAACCAGAAGTTGCTGAACCACTCCGCGAAAGGCCCAAAATCACCTCACAGCTGTTGATCGAGTTGGGTCAACAAAGGCCTCCCACATTGGCCGGGCATCTGAATCTCCTACTGTTTGTGCAGGATCTTTCAGTTTGGAAGTATCTCCCGGTCATAGCTTGGAGGCCATCGCAGCGAGAACTCCCATGCATCCGCCTCAAAACGCTCTAAGCGGCACGGGTGATGGTGTAGGTGAAGAAGGCGGTCACGGTGGTCGTCGCCGCCCCGAACCTGAGGACGCGCGACCCGGTGCGGCGACCGGTCTGGCGGGTCGGCATTGCAGGCATCGGTGAACACTCAGAGGTTCATCACCGTTGCGGTTGGTGAAGTCGTGTGTGGAAGAAGCATGTCTAATCCGCCGAGTTTTGAGCACTCGACAGTAAATACCGTGGTTTTGAGCGCCCAATAGCTCAAAACCATCGGTATTTACCTGGTTTCCTGGCGTAGAAGCACCAAAACCTACGCAAATAGCGTGCTTTTGGGCCACTTTTGAAGCCTCGAGCAGCAAAAACATGGATATTTACGGCGCTTTCCATCTTTTTGGGCATTAAAAAAAGGCATCTCCACCACCAACCTGGGGGATTTTGCTTGGTCTCCTTGTTAGCGCGCGCGCGCGCCTCAAACTTGTTTGATACGAGGTCTCCGGGGCGCGCGCGAAAGGAACAACAACCATAGTAACCAAGCAAGAAATACAAAGGCAACGGACAGCCACAAAAACACAAAAATCATCAAATCGCTGTAGGAAAGTCTTACCAACATTGAAATGTTGGTTCTCAGAACTGACGAATGGTATGTTGGCTCTGATCGCTTACGTTCACGAAAGGCCAAGTCACATGTGAGATTCAAGATACTGGAAAGCTTGCTGGTATGTGGATTACACATATTTTGCAACATTTACAGCAGAAACCAAGTAATGCGTGGGAATCAGTTGGCTATCTTCGAACTGATGCACCTGTCCCTGGCATGACCCCATTTATGACCGCAACTTTACTGCTAGGCGCTTAGTTGGATTCATCTCAAATTCCTGGTGTATGATCTAGTGGGTTATCGATGTCCCAGTTCCCAGGTGTGTGTTTGTCGATGCAGCAGCCATGTCGTTGTGCCAGGGGCTCATGGCGCAGAGTGGTGCCATCTTATTTTGTGTTCCCGCACACATGTTCTTGAGTAGGTGTTGTGGCAAGGATCTGAGGTGAGTTTCAGGATATTCTTCCAGAGGAGCCTCCAACGGTTGCGCCACATGACACGCAACCAATGCGGCCAGCTGTGGAACTGCTTTCTCAGCTGACTCGTCATTTAGCACCGTCCTTTGTATCCACGAAAGCACCAAACGCTGCCAATGCGCAGCTCATGCTTTTGAATGTCCTTTTCTTGGCGTGCATCTAGCTACTCACTGTGCCCGTTTGGTTGCAGGACACTTACATGCGCCCAATGTAAGAACGTATAAAAAGTGACGCTCGAGGTGCAATGGAAATGTATCGATCTGAATTTGATGGCACTTCGCAGAGCTTCAGAGTTCCTGCGTCCAGCGTATAGTCGATCTCGCACCGCTTGTGCCACTGGAGCTCCGGAGCGCGCAGCAGTTCAGGAACTTCTGGCGTCAACTGCGTTGCCAGCTTGCGTCGCCTCGCGCGCCGCAATGGCATACAAGTGCTAACCCTACCATGGTACGGTATCACACAAGTTTCTTGGCATTGCCTGAGAAACTCTCAGGACCAAATTGGGCTTATGGCCAGTATGGCCATTTTTTGAACACAATGAGGGCAGCCTTGACAGTGGGAAAACTCTGGTGGTGGCATCTCGTTTCCGCCCAGGCGCCACTCAACGCCGTGCAACTTGCCTCCTGTCGTCAAAAGACAGGCTTGCAGCCAGCTGGACATTTTTCTCCTGAGAACAGTCTGCGTGACTCCAACGTCCTCTACAAGACAAAGCATTATGTTGCACTTTAGCTTGCCCGGGGTGGGGTGTTTGGACATCATCATCTTTGCCAATGCCACAAACAGTTGCAACACAACTGGTTCATCGCAGTGTTGATGCACTGTGTTCCACGGGTGAGATGTGCACGCGCCGCCGAACTCATGCTTATACTTATGCGCTGTCCCGCGCCTTGCCTTTCTCTTTGTTTCGCAGCGCGGTACTCTGCCCCGGGCACACCGCTTGCGCCGCTGGCGCCGCTCCGGCCACTCCTTCCGGAACAGCCTGACCGGGGTGATGGGCTGAAACGCCCCGAGGTGCTGCTGCGCGGGTTGCGCCGAACCATTCGCAGACCGACTCTTTGCAAGAATGTCCGAGGGGTTCTGAAACTCCAACTCCTCAAGCCTTATTGATTCAAAGCAATTCTTTGGTCACCGAAGCTTCGCTATGCTTGCGCACCGCCGCCCGGAATCTAAGCTATCAAAATCTGCTGCTTGGATGCTATTGTTTGTTTGCGCCCTTGATTTAGAGCTTCAAAGATCGACGTATAGATAGCTTCAGTTTCTTGACCCGAATCTGAGCTATCAAAATCTGCTGCTTGGATGCTATTGTTTGTTTGGATCCCTCGGTCGACATATAGATAGCTTCAATTCGTTACCTTTTCTGCATAGATGCAAGTCACACCCTTACTGCATTGACAAAGTGTTGATTCGAAACGGTGATGTGCTTGAACCAGCAAACGATAAGACTGCGCCACTAGGTCTGTACTGGAGTCTGTACCAGTGGTTGCTCGCACATGGAGTCTGTAATTACTCAAGGTTTGAAATGAAAAGCGTGTGTTTTTGACAAAGAGTTGGAAAGGGGTGAGAAGGCCAGGGGTGGCCGAAACCATGGACTCATACTTGTACTTCTAACACTCTTCTCTTGCAAATTGACATACGACGAACCTCTTTTTCTTTCATGGTTCTTGAGTATGTTTACACGAAATGGAGCCTGTGGGGGCAGTATTCCTTGACAAGGGTTCTAACGTAGTTGTTTGCCAATGTTGAACCCAACAAACACCAAGAGCAAAGTCGTATTAGATCCATCTGCGCGCCATACTCCCCGCACTCTCCTGCCATCTTCTGTCTAATGCTCCCCACCTCCTGCTTCCACCCTAAGACATCAGCGCGCTTGAAGCAGGTCACCGCTCTGATCAGGTCCAACAAGCTTAGGATGCCTTAATCCCAGTCCTTGCAGTTTGCGCTCATCAGGCACCATTTGATTGAGCAGCTGTAAGGCAGTAGGAATATCCCATGTCACCACAACAAAAAGTGCCGCGAAGGAAAGCCCCGGCGTAAACATATCGACCAAAATCGGTATATATTGCTGGACTCACAATCAAAGTAGGCCGTCTACTACCTTGACCATGCGGGGGGCAAAGGCCGAACATTGCAGGCAAAGATTTCATCATGTCGGTTGAGATGCGTATCCCAATGCTGCTGCATCAGGACACTGACAGAACCATGTGCATTCCACCGTGCAATGTGGCAAACAGTAGAAAACACACAAATCAAGGCTTGAGGGTGGCTCCGCACTGCCAACTTGATCGGTCGCTCTGGTCCAGCTGCATTCAAGACATATGTAGTTGCAGCGTCAACAAATGCTCCAAACTGCGTGACTGACGAAAAATCGTCTCGATCACTGCCAACTAGATTCAGCAGCAGCAAAATTCCAATCCATCGTATGGACATGGCTGAACTTAAACTAAAGCTAGATTGAATTGAATGGTTTTTGGGCGCTGTCAGTTTCATCCGACTCTGCTGAGTTCAGCTTTCAGCCTTCTAAATGGTAAATAAGACGGTTTTTATGGAGGTCCTGCCCAATTTATGGAGGTCCTGCCCAACATTTTCATTTATTGTTTCACTCCATTCCCACGGATTGATGCAGAATCTTAATCCCACGCCAACAACGAGTCCTGAAGAACAGAAACAGTGGCTTCTGTCCGCTGTAGTGTAATTAGTCATTGGCCAAGCCATCCAAGTCAATTCAAGATCTGAGGCCTGATCTGATCTTGACAAGAGCCTGGGTCCTCAATGACGCTTGACGCGCTTGACACCTTATTGGGATTCTCCCACCATTGAACTGTGAAGTCCTGAGGAGAGCTGAGCATTCCCTTCCTCAGATACGTGGGTGGCAGAAGCTATCAAGAATTAAAAGCGCCTGCGTCTGGAAGTGTCTGTAAAGCTGGAGGAGCCCTCCCAACTTCACTCCTAGTCTCTGCCCTCAGAAGCCCTGAGCTCCGGACGTCGCCATCAGCTCTTCATAAGGCACAATTAGGGGACAAGCCTTCTTCCGGATGGCAGGATGATGGCTAGCTGGCTGCGGCAAGTAGGCAAGTGTCCGAAACTGAATGCGATAGCGAACCCGCGCCCAACCGGCATCGCCGGTCTGCGAAGCTCTACAATAGCACTGGCCGCAATGGCCTCCAACCTACTAGCGATGGCATCCAACCTGCAAGCATGACTTGTTGCTGTTCCAGTTTGCTTCGTCCCACGGAGTGGACCCACGGACTCCCTCGGTGAAAGAGCCCATTTGAGCGGAATTCCCACAGTTTCCCCCCCACGAGATCCAACTCCGATCGCTACTAGAAGCAAAGGGCATCGCTACTAGGAGCAAGGACGCTACTAGTAACAAGTGCATCGCTACTAGTAACAAGTGCCTTACTAGTAGTAACAAGAAGCTACTAGGAGCAAAGGGCATCGCTACTAGGAGCAAGGACGCTACTAGGTTGGAGGCCATCGCTCACCCCAGCCATCGCCTGGGTATCACCGTCGCGGTGTCTTCAGTTTGAGCTCCCGGGCTGGTAGGGCCTGTAGGTGGAGATCGGAATGGTATTGGGCGCCACCGGCGGCTTCAAAGTGTAGGGGATGTCCGGATTCCTCAGAGCTTCAGTCGACCCAGCTGTCAAAAATGGCCTACTAGCGATGACCTCCAACCTACTAGCGAAGATGTTGCAGAGTTTGCGAGTTTGCATGGTTTATCATTCCAAACTACTGGCTCGATCGCTACTAGGAGCAAAGGGCATCGCTACTAGGAGCAAGGACGCTACTAGGGGCTCCTGGCATCTGGCATCGCTACTAGGAACAAGAATCTACTAGGGGCTCCTGGCCTTACTGCTAGGAGCAAATAGCTACTAGTAGCAAGGACGCTCACATGCGATTTTGCAAATCCTCCTTTCAGATTGACCAACTGATACGTGGCACCCCACCATACTTGCACCTGTCAGGTTCCAAGGAGATATTGAAAAAACAAGTCAAATCACCTCTGCAACAAACACCACCCATCCCAAACCAAGCTTTCGGTCATACCCACATGTCTCCTCTTGGCCCAGGCGTCTGGAAGACATCTACATTGGTCTCCTTGTCAAAGTTGTAGGGCTCTTCCAACGGTTGACCGCGACTCAGGATGCTCGAGGGATAGTGAGATTGGAAGCTGGCCATCGCTATTGGGTTGGAGGCCATCGCTAGTACTGGAGGCCATCCCTTTGAGGTTGGAGGCCATCGCTAGTAGGTTGGAGGCCATTGCTATTAGGTTGGAGGCCATCGCTATTAGGTTGGAGGCCATCGCTAGTAGGTTGAACCATCGCTGTTAGGTTGTAGACCATCACTATTGGGTTGGAGGCCATCGCTATTATGCTGGAGGCCATCGCTAGTAGGTTGAACCATCGCTATTAGGTTGTAGGCCATCACAATCAGGTTGGAGGTTATGGCTCTTAGGTTGTAGGCCATCACTATCAGGTTGGAGGCCATGGCTCTTAGGTTGCAGACCATCGCTATTAGGTTGGAGGCCAT